AGTTGTTTTAACCCAAAAGACGAACCTAACTAAGTAGTTTAGTTGCTTAAACCTAACTAAGTTATTTCCTGTGAAAACGTATACAAGTAACGGACAAAAATTGACACTTGTTGCTGGACTTGAGAAAAATGAGAATTAACCTTTTGTAAAATATCATAGGAACAACAAGATGTTCAGTGTGATGGAGCTTCGAGTCTCTGCGAGCTGATTTTCATGCTGTTGGTGCACCAGATGGAAACTAGTAACTGTGAGGATTATGAGGGGGGGAAAACCCAATTTAGAAATGTTAAACACTGATATGATAAACATGGATAGCAGTTTTCTGTGCAGTAAATGAGACGAAAGTTCTGTTAGGATGGATGTCAGATTAGCTGGAAGTGTGGAAACTCCCACTCCATCCCATAAACCTGAACACAACTGATAAGAGACTGTTATCGGGCAGAAGGACTCATAGCGGAGCAGTTGTCCATGTTCTCCAATTATTAACCAGGTCTTAGCCCCAAGATATTGTACTTGTTTACCACGTAAAATCATACAAAGACATTTTGAATCGTAGTTCATCGACTAGTTTCCTTTGAGGTTGCCGGGCCTCTTGTGTAATGTGTCTGCGATCGTTAACGTAACTTACAAGGCTCTTTCTAGAATACTTGGAGGACAAACACTAAATAAACACCCACACCTTCTTATTGAAAATGGCAGGATTTCCCTTTAGCTCTCAGAAATTATTAATAATAATAATAATAATGATGAAGTTCATGGGATTGAAATAGAGTCAGTGTTCTTTATTGACCTGACCAGAGATATTACTTAGGAAGAGGAGGTACTTAAGGGACTCATTATACAAGATCTTTCTTGATCTAGAGGTTTGCTGTGCATGTGTGCAAAGTCAGTGGCACAGTTCATCAAATTTAGGAGAATTATTTGTGCATTTCTCCGATTATGCTAGTGCATCTTATAGACATGCATGACCACCCTTCAACTTCAGCATATCTTCAGACTGCATGCAGACTTGTGAGAAAACCGGCTCGCTGTTAAGTCTGCTCACTCTACCAGCCCACTGCATATTTGTGTTATGCACACAACTGCTCTGTAACATGAGTATTAATGTGATATCTCATTAGAAAGCTACGGTTCTTGTAATTCGAGTTATGCAAACCATTTCAAGATACAATAACAACAGCAGGTACAGTTAACGTCTCTGTCAAACAAGCACTCCAAAAATAGCCGATAAAATATCACCGTGACTCACCGATTATGATCCATAACGTCCCCCTCGTGCATGCTAGTCCAGCAAAAACGGTCTTGCTAGGTGGCTAAGGGTCCACTCGATCGAATCCAGTGAAAGATTTAGTCCAAAACACATTAGTACGTCCATAAAGACCCACAGGGGGCTGTTGCATCATTTCAAATTAGCCAGCAGATATGATAACTCGCGATCATATTTCGGGCATAACTTCACCTTCCGTGTCAACAGAGCGGAGATTTTGATCGCAAAATGGAGCCTGCATTCTGCCGGTTAGATTGACACCTCATTTGACCCAATAGGAGCTTCTATAGCCCGGCCACAGTCTGGAACAGCCAACGAGAGTCCGCTTTGAAAGACAATGCCCACCTCTCTTCTTTGGGTATAGCTCGAGCCAATCGCAACAGATCCTGTTCAAACTCAGGCTCCACATAGCCAATGAAATTACGAAGCCAAGGACATGCAGATTTATCAGATTGAATGCTGGGAAAGTTTTCTAACCTGAACTGGAAACCATGAGTCAAGTTCCTGGGACAGAGTGTGAAGACTAAAGTCTGGTTCATGAGAATTTTCAAGAATCTGTGAAAGTTGATAATGGTTGAATATGATATAGTTATCCATACATCAACATAAATGAACTATAGTTTGAATTTTGAACACGTAGTATATTCATTTTGACGTGGTGATGCGAGCCTGAGCCTCCAAATGCGTTTTTACGCGGCCGCACTCTTAGTAAACCATGTGTAAAATATTAGTTTTCTGTTGTGTTGTTATCAAATTTTAACTTATACTAGGTGTCATGACTGTTGGCTGTCAAAGGAGAGTCTTTTCAAGCCTGTCAGTCCCAGCCATAGATAGCTGCTGCCATCTGTTGGCCAAAACAAATCTAGGCGGAAGTAAAATGCTTCTTTTTCAGTGTGTTGTAAAGGCCATAGCTCAATGCTAGTAGCACTTACGGTGATTCTGACTGATTGTGAAGAAACTTCAGAGTGTTGCCGTTCAATCGAGACTAAAACCATACATGTACTCCCAATGGTTCAATAACAGCTGTCAGTTTACTTTGGGTACGCGGTTGATAGGCGTTTTAGGCAAATTATGCAGGAATGAGAAGAGGCTTTAAAGAAACTGCAGCCCAACATCGTCTCTGCTTGTGCAGCGAGGAGAAGAGGCTGAAATAGGTGAAATGTCACCAGCGAAAAAACATGCAAGTGAATAGGAGAACAGAGGTTGACAGCAAGAGGGATCGACAGCAGGGGAAGCGACCAAGGGCACCCGAGGGAGGCACACAGGAGGGAGGAGGGAGGAGGGAAGGAAACAAGAGAGGCTGTTTTTGTTTTTTCTCATCAAGTCAATCAGTGTCCATGAACACGAAACCAATAGATTGCATTTCCTGACTGTTTCTCAACCTGCCACGATACCCGGCTCAGCAATTACCCTCCAACATTTGTGTATGAAAATATATCAGCAGGTTATTGATGGAGGGATCGGGTGTGTGTGTGTTGATGGCGCTGCAGAATGATAGCGTTGAAACGGGCCTTTTCTCTGCTGCTTTCTGCTCCCGTTGAGCTGCTGGACTCGACCTCCAGCCCGTCAGCACCTCGTTAGGTCATTCGTCCCGAATCATCCGGTTCAGCAGGACTCCGCTGTGCCCTCTGGGTTCTGGTTTCTTTAGCTCCCACTGATCCGGATAAATTGCACAAAGTACAGTTTGTTAAAGTTTCATATGTTTAATGATTATCAGCATTTTTCCTGTCTGCTATCTGTATAATCGACGTTGTGTAAAATGTTCTGTGTTTTCTATGAGTTGTGTGCAGCTTCCTGGTCAGCAGTTACTTTGAGTCCTCTCTGATCTCCCCGTCAGATAATAATCAATATCGGTTTCATAATCAGCCGCTCACTTTCTTTCCTCACCTTGTTTTCTCTCCTTGTTGGCCCTCACTTCCTTCTCGTTCTCTTTTTTTGTTTGGCTCTTTCCTTCCTCTCCTCATCCTCTCCTCATCCTCTCTCTGTTGTCACTGTGACCATCAGAATCTTTTTGTCTGCCGGGTCTATTTTTACCAGACGTTCTTTAACTTTCCTTCAGCCTTTGTTTGGTTCGCTGCTTTTTTTCTTTCTTTTGTTCGTCTTCACGGTTGAAACCGCTTCCATCGGCCACGCCCACAGAGGGAACTCTCCGTCTGCGTGTCTGTGTGGAGCAGAGAGTGTGTGTGTTGGCAAGTTACTGTGAATTTGGACGTGCTTGCCTTCATTTGTGTACATTTGTGCAAACATATGTTTGTGTGTGTGTGTGTGTGTGTGTGTGTGTGTGTGTGTGTGTGTGTGTGGTCTCTGCAGCACAGATTCTTCATGTAACGGCTGGTTCACCTCTAAAGGAGTGAATCTCTGCTTCACAGACTCTGAATGACACACACACACACACACACACACCAGTTGATCAGGATTAAGATCAGATCTTCTCAAAGGAAGAGGAAAATACCTGCTATTTATTTTCGTACACGCTCCTCCACCTGTCTGGTCTTGTTGCTTAAAAGCTCTTCTCTGTATTTCCACACATTTGTCACCCGTCACACAAGTAGATCTGGTCCGATTTGATTGACAGTTGCATCTCCCTGGTAACAGAATCTAACAACAACAACTGTCTTCAGATGTCAAACCAGTGAGAAGAGCACAAATAGAAACACACAAACAGAAAGGTTTGTCAGAAAGCAGTGCGTTTATGTCCGACTCCATCATCTATAATCAAAAGATGATAAAGAAAATAGATTCCAAAGCTATATTTACTTCATTCGATTATGAAAATAGTTGGGGCTGTTTGTCTGTTGATGGACTGATCCATTAGTCGAATAATCGTTGCAGCTCGAGTAGAGTGAGATCTCTAAACGATCGTATGAATCGGCCTCACAGCTCACCCAGCGATCAGCTGATGAGTGACATTCACACACAAATCAATGACACCAGTAGCTCTTCTACGTTTACGGATTTGAATTCCAACCAAACCAACAACAGTTCCCTGATGAATGCGTCTCCAAACATGCAGCAGGTGATAATTAGTGAGACATGTTGCAGCCCTGAAGGCTAAAGGAGTAAGATCCAGGTGAGCAGAGGTGAAATGCTTCTCTAGCGTTGGATGATTGTCAGGGCACTGAGCTCCACTGGGAAGCAGGAATGTGAGGCATGAAGGAGGAGGAAGTCCTGCTACCAACTTCTCTTAAACTTGTCTTTTATCCTTTCTTCATAGTTGTCATTCTATTGTAATTCCTGTGCAGCTTCCTCTCTCTCACCCCTACAGTGTGTGTCTTTCTATTAACTACCTCCACCTTATCACCATCTGCAGCCCATTACTCTCACTGAATAATTCCCTCAGTTAAACAAATACAATGTCCACGTCCATGTTGAACAAATACTGTGACAAACAGCTGCTGCTGTGGATGTTTCCACCGTGTTCACCGAAAGCTTCTCAAGTCAATCGAAACATGTTGTTATCCAAAGCCTCAGGATGTCAACATGAAATGCTCCGGTGGTATTTTATACTTTGGTAGTTTCCACACATTAAATTCACACAGGGAGACCCGCTCTGATACGCACAGTTACGTAGGATATAGGGCTGGGTGATCAATATGATCATTTATTGTAAAGGAATCATTTTGTGGGTGATACAAAATAACTAGTTTTACACTCAGTCTTAAGGAGTTAACAAGGAAGGGTTGTTGTAAACTGCAGTTTCCTTTAACCTTGTCTCTCCTCTGTTCCTTTCCAGGTTCGATTAGAGTTGGACAAATACCTCCCCCAGGTCAACAGTCCTCTCTTGAGTAACCTGATCGATTCTGTCGACAAGAAATACAGACGAGACAGCGCCTCCGTGGTCGACGACTTCTTCTCCGAGGACAAAATGGCTGCTCCTTACAGCCTCAACATCAACTTCATCCTTCCCAGCACCACCCACCTCCGCACGGGCCTCTACCGGCACAACACCAAGACTCTCACGCCGCAGCAGATCAAGACGGAGCCCGGGCTGGAGGTGCCCTGCTCCATCTCCTCCTCCTCCAGCACCCAGGCCCTGCCGGACTTCACCTCCGTCTTCAGCGTGCCGCCCGTAGTCAACAACGGGTTCATCAAGCCGGACATGAGCTGTGGCGTGGTGGTGAGTGTCCCTGCAGGATCCCAGCAGCAGCAGCCAAATCTGGACACAGAGCTTCACATCGGCCCCCCGGCCCCCCAGCCGCAGATCTACCACATGCCCATCACCAGCTGCGCTGACCTCACCATGACTCTGTCGCACGCCAGCCCGTCGGCACACGCCTCCACGAGCGGCAGGACCATGCTGAACCTCTGCAACGTTGCATCCAACGGCAACTACATGATGGCGGAGCACCAGCTACAGCAGCACCACGGTTACTACCAGGCCTCGCCGACCGGCTCATCCCAGCACACGGCGCCCCACAGCCTGCCGCCCTCACCGCCAAACTCTCAGCCAGGGAGCCCGGACGGTCAGGCGGAGCTGCTCAGGTTAGCGCCACACCTTATGCCACAGTACCAGCAGCGCCTGGACGGGATAAAGGTGACGGGGTTGTCTCCACACGCCATGCTGATGACACATGGACAGGGTGTCCTGACGGGTCCCAAATACAACAGGCGGAACAACCCAGAGCTGGAGAAGAGGAGGATCCACTTCTGTGACTACCCAGGTCGGTGTTTTATCTGCATTTAACTTTAGAATATATCACAGTAAAACCGTTGCCTCACAGCAAGATGGGCCCAGGTTCGATTCCCGGGCTAGACGGGCCTTCTGCGTGGTGATTGCATGTTCAGCGTTGGCTTCCGGAGATGCAGCTTAGGTTAGTTGATTGCCCCTTGGTGTGGATGTGAGCGTGAATGGTTCTCCGTCTCTATGTGTCATCGGCTCCACACCCCCCGCGACCCTGAACAGGAAAAGCAGTTAAACATAGTGGATGGATGGACAGTCAAACACATTTGTCAAAATATAAGAATAATTTAGCATAGAGTTAAATGATAATCCTCTCCTGGTCTTCTGCTTTTGTCAAGGATTTGACATTGTCATGAAACGAAACAGATTTTTCTACCAGTCCCTGAATTTAAGGTATCTTACTTACTCTATCATTTGCATGCTGTATCATTGGCCAGTAACAAATGCACTCTCTGCACGTGATCACATTTGTGCGAGTTAAAAGTGAAGACGTTAAACCTCTCGGCAGCAGTACCTTGGTTGTTGCACGCCGCTCAGTTCTTGCCACTGCTTTCAAAGTTGAATCAGTTTGACGTTTTGTGTGAGCGAACTGTCAACGTGCAGCAGATGAGATCACCTGAAATAGATGGAAAGGGCGATTCGTGCACTCAAACCCTTCCTGATTGTCAGGTTCTTACGTCTCACTGGGTAAATTGTGTTTGTGCTAAACTGAAATACTTAACTCGCAGTCATTTCCAGGCTTTTTAGTTTCTTTTCCAGGAGCTGTTCCTTTTCTTTTCCTGTGTTGGGGACGCTACCTATGATAACGTGCACCTTAGGCAACATGCAAATCTGCCCATATTGAATCATTTTTAACACGAGACACTCACAGAATCACAAGCGAGAGCCCTGCACGATTCCCTGGGCTTTATTAACAGTTTGACGCACAAATGAAAACATGTTTCAGCCACTCCGAGTCGGTTCAAAATGCTTTCTACCGATGTACTGTTGTGTAAATAAGCTCCGCCCCCAAAGCAAAAGCACAAATGCAAATCTGTCAGTAAAATATTGGCTCTTCTTGCATGTCGCAAACAGAATCCAGGTTGCTAGCGTGCTTTATAACACACTGCAAAAAGTGTATGAGACCAATCATTTGAAGTGGTCCATTTGTGTTTGTGAGTGGGTCGGGCCTGGGTTCGTCCACTGATACAAACCCACTCTAGAAACAGCACGTTTTCTCCTTCGTGGACAAAGTCAACTTTGCGTCCGTGGAGAACATTTGAGCCGTCAGCCAATCTCACGATCTGTCTTTGTGATGTCTTTTCAGGCTGCTCCAAAGTTTACACAAAGAGCTCTCATCTGAAGGCACACCAGAGGACGCACACAGGTAAGAAAACACTTCTCCGTGGGTTGAACTTGAAGTGGTGTTTTTCTGCCATGACATAGAATGTATCTCTGCTATCAGCTGTCTGACGGGTCTGTTCCAGCTACGACTTTATCTACTAACAGTTCACTCAGAGACTCTTTAGAGGAAGTCATTGGGTTTCCACAGCAGACACCAGGGTCCAAATTGGAGAAGAAAATGTAAAATCACATTTTAAGTTCTGAGAATCTGGAATCTGGTCGACGTTTTGTTTTGTCTTGTCTTGAGGTCTCTTCAAATTCTCAACATTGATGAGGATTTGGAAGAAGTTGCACAAACTCACACCTGTGTGCTGCCTTGTGAAATCCCATTCACGAACTCGTTCTGTCTAAACTAATCCTGGGAGTCAGTCTCATCACTGGAACTATTGAGCTCACAGCTCACTTGTCTTCAGCTTATTTATTTGTATTTTCCATATTTTGTCACATTGCCAGTTTCGATACACCCAGTAACTAAAACAGAACACAATGAAGAGTAAAACAACATCGAGGCTAAAGAGTTTGTGCCTGCTCATACCTGTTCTCTGTGCTCCCTCATAGAGAGAGAACAAAGAGGGAGGGAGGAGGGTAGGATGAAGGAAAGAGGGGGAAAGGAGAGGGAAGACGTGCTGTAAAAACGAAGGACAAACCAGTTACTCCTGCTTTTCAGAGGAGGAAGGAGGAGGAAGGTTGGGGGGGGGGTTGCAGAATGGGGGAAGGTTTCGATGTGTTTCCCTTCTGTAAGATGAAACCTGTGGACTCCCGGCAGCGTCAGACCTGGATTTTGGAGATTTACTCATGCGATAAAAGCCGCAGTGAGAAAACAGTGAGGGAGAGAAAGACTGAACACGTGAGCGACTGTGTGAAGAGAAACAGGTCTCTCTATTCTCATAAATAGATAAGATGGAACTTTATGGATCCCAGTGGGGAAGTTGGGTTTGTTGCAGCAGCATACAAATAAACTGTGGAAGCAAAAGACAAACAGACTGTAAAGTATGAGTGAGAATAGTAAACAAGACAATACAATAAAGTAAGTGAAGGAAGTCAGAGAGGAAAGACTGTTGAGAGTTTTACACAGATGTCATGTATGGATATACTGTATATATATATCATGGGATATTAGAGGTTTCTCATGAATATTATTCTTTAAAACCAGATGAACACTTTGTCTTTGACATACTACTATAGCACAATCATCTTAATGCACAGCTGCTAATTCTT